ATAGGGTATTTTAGTAGTTTAACATATATATCAAGCTACTCAACAATGCAAGTCGAGTTCGTGCTCAAGCCGCTCGAGTCGAGCTTTGACTCGAGTGCTCGCGAGTCGTTTGGTTCGTTTGCAGCCCTAGTTCCTAAGAACTAGTGGGTTCTTGCACCGGAACCTCCATATTCCGGGACGGTGTTGGTGCACAATTTTATGAATCGTCGACCGATTACGTCAAGCCTGTTGGCCATATCTGCTTAAGTAAGTCGATCCGTCATAAGTTTGGAACAAAAATTTATACATGTGTTATGAAATATAATTTTTACGTTAATATCCTCCCTATACATTAATTCAAAACGTGCTTAGCCTAAGTGGCAGGTGTTAGAGTAGAATACCCAGCGTTCTAATCAGATTGGATACATTTTACTTGTTAATACAATTTATTGGAATTTATATTAACTAAAGGGCATTACTTTATCTTATAAACATATGATAAAGTCCCTAGATCATTAATAGCTATAAGGCATGGTTACGCATTGGATGGTAATCATGGAAGATGCCTTGAAAGCAATGATCTTAAATAAAGTTCCAAGTCAATGGGTATTTCGAGATGGGATATCAAATAACCCGGTAAGACTTGCACATATGATGTATGCTTGTTGGACAAGAATGTTGCATTCCATCAGCATTAGCGTTGGACGCAAATACATATATATGGGTACTTGTCAGGGAACAAGTTCACTGAGCATGACCGTATGAAAATTCTTAAATGGAACTTTTACTGTCGAATAAGAATTTTCATATTGCAATAGTACATGATTGATCCTTTGACTTGAGGTACGATAGTAATCTTGTGCATGTTATGCTTTATTTTGATTTATCCTTTGATTACTGGATAATCATAAAAGGGATATTTTGGATATTGTAATAATATGTGTGGAGATTTATCTGTAGCCAACAGAGAATTCGACACTTATATGGATAAGTGAATTTCTTATGTTTTTCATAGTTTGTGATTCAAAGACCTTGGTCAAGGCAGGATGAATATAGATTCATAAAGGAATCACTAAACTTGAAATTGAATCCTAGTTATTAAATCAAATGGGTTTCGACTAAAAACCATACCCAAGATTTAATCGGGAAATTAATTGTCGAAAGAATTTTACATGTATGGAATTGTAATCGAAAAAAAGGTTTACTCGCTATTTCACTTAATACTAGATAATCATGCTACTTGCTAGGTGTTACCATGATTTGTGAGTTCTTGAAATTAAGGAGTTAATTTCAAGAATGTGAATTAATTAGATTAATTTAAATTAAAATAAGTTGTAAACCCACTACTAGTATTAATTGTGAACCTAAAAGGTCACACCAATTTTTGAATGAAGATAATTTTAAAATTAGTATTTCTAAAGAGTTAGATTAATTGACAAGAATGAATTAAATAATGAGATTATTTAATTAAATCTAATTATGATTAGATGTCAATTAAAGGAATTTAATAAATTAATCAATTGAATTGATTGATTTTATTTTGGATATTAATTAAGTAATTATTGTAATTACTAAATTAATAGTTGGATTTTAAAATAAGATTTTAAAATTCAAATCCAAATAATAATCTGATTATAAAAAGAAGAGACGTTATTTTATTTGGAGATAAAGACATTTTAACAAATAATATTGAAAATGTTTCATAAATTATTTGTTATTATTAATCTTTAATTTAGATTAAAGATTAAATATTAATAAAAATAAAATAATCATGGTAGATGTGAGTTGATACTCACTCTACATATTTATTTGTATTTTTATTATTAAGATATTTGGGAGAAATAGTCTTGCAAAGACTTTATTTTTTTTATGAAAATGATTGTACCCAACATTATATTTTTATACATAAAATTTTAGTGTAAATACATACATATGTGATGTATGAAAATAATGCATTGAAATCTTACATTTTGAGAAAAGAAATAGAGATTATTTTTCACTTTGAGAAAGTGAAGATAAAGAAAAATTATCTCCCAAATAAAATTAAATTATCCTCTTTAATAAAATTCCTATACTAATTGAAAACCGAGAAATTTCTACTAGCGAAAAAATTAGTTCTTGGTATTGGATTTCAAAATGTGGACTCGATTAGAGGGGAAACATTTGGATCCCTTGAAGTGAGAAACAAGAAGAAGGTGATTGTCACATAACAGGAAATCGATTTCCTCATCATCGTCAAAATAAGAAGGACATTTAAAAGGTAATTTTCGAAATTATCTACAAATCAAAATTCTTATTTTTCATGATTCTAATAGATGTCGATCATATTATTCGCTATATGTACTTACGGATTAAGTATTTATTTGATAAATGATAATTATATTGTATAATTTCAGCTGCGATTTTAATTCGTACACTATAGCGAACCCAACAGCAGGCTCGCATATTTCGGGATCCTATGTGGCAAAATTACATGCTTCGTTATTAGGCTTTGGGTAGATTTTAATTTACTTCAAATCCAAAAATAATTAGGTCCGGATTATCCATAAATATGTTTATTATTTATGGTTATGTTACATGTATTACTTGCATTTTAATATCATTTCTTATTATATAACCATTGAATTGTAAATGTATTTTAAAAGTTAACAACTTTTGTATTTTTCATCAGTTTTACATATATAATATATTAAATTAATCATCTCTTGATGAGTTTTGATTTAACATTTGTATGTATAAGAAAATAAATGATATTTATCTTTGTAACAATAATTAATTTTTTTAATATTAATTAAAAAATAAAATTATTTATCAATTAATATATTTTTATTTCAATAGTTATATGATATAAGTTACAAAAATTACTATAATATAACAAATGTAAGTCGTACAAGTAACAAATGTCATTCTAAAATATATAATAATATATATTTTTTGTAAAAAAAGTAAATAAAATTTAAAATAATTTTTTCATTACTTTTAAAATTTAAGAATAATTTTTTAAGAAGTACCCATGTAATACACGAGTATTGTACTTGTATTTTTTAGAATATGATATTTCTATTTGAAAAATATATATATTTGTCGAAAACATATGGTTGTTATTTGTTGAGATTGCTTATGAAGATGTATGATGATGATAATGATGATAAAAGATAGATAGATAACCTCCACAATTGTGGCATACAAAGTGTCCGTACAAAAGCTCAATAAAGAAAAATAAATTGACCATTTTTTATTTTCTTAATTTCACAATCACAATCATTGTTGGGATTTTTTTTCGTCTTGCCCTTTTTGAAACTTCTCATCTCATGGAGTTCATCTCTCTTAATGCATAATCACAAATCTTCAATGCATTAAATCAAGTGGGCTCCCTCGTGTTTGGCTTTTTGCCTATATATGCAAAGGTAGACAGGAATAGAACATTGCACGTACAATCTAATAAATTAGCATCACTCAAAGTTGAAGGCATACACATAACTATATCCCTTTTTCTTTTTTTGAGATAATTTTGCAAAAATCAATCTCCCTTAGCTTCACAATCAAGAATGACTACTTTCCCTTGTGGCGGAGAATGTGGCGACATCATCGTCTGGTTCGATGATGTGGCCGAGCGAGTTGGCGCCGTCCAAACCGAGACCCTCCGCACGATTCTTGAAGCAAACCACCGAGTCGAGTACCTCAAGAAGTGGCTCAAAGATGTTAATGTGAACGAAATGGAGTCGAGTGAACTAGAGTCGCTATTTACTTCTTTGGTGCCCCTTGTGTCCCATGCGGATTTGGAGCCGTATATTCAACGAATAGCCGATGGCGAAACCGAGCCTCTTCTCACTCAAGAACCCATTACCACTCTTTCATTGAGGTTGTCTATCATTATCTTTTCTTCTTATAAAAAAAAAAAAAAAAATAAAAAAAAAAAAAAAATAGTCCACTCTTGTGTGTGTATATACTATATATATGCTTCATTTTGTTAACTTGATGTCCCTTTCTGTGAGTGAGTGTGTGAGCTCTCTTTTTCAAGTTGAGATAAAGAAAAGTATCTTAATTACTATAGAAGAAGTCATTCATATGATTGAGTACACACATTTTAGAGCCTTTGATTAGATATAATATGCTCAATTGAACTAGTCTAATTCTTACTTTCCAACTTACTATTTCTAAGTTTTCTTTTCTTGGGATATAATATATATGTATATAGCTCTGGTACAACTGAGGGAAGACAAAAGTACATTCCCTTTACAAGCTACAACGCAAAAACCACTCTCCAAATTTTCACAATTGCAGCTGCTTATAGATCAAGGTTTGCACTTTGCCCCTCTTTCCCAATTCCTACTTTTCAAAATTTCAACAAAACCATTTACAATATTAATTTCTCCCCTGTTTCTTGTTTTCTGTTAATTACAGAGTATATCCCACAAGGCAAGGTGGGAAAGTCTTGGAATTCATATACAGTAGCAAACGGTCGAAAACGAGCGGCGGCATAACCGTGGGCACGGCCACGACTCACGTGTTCAATAGCCGAGAATTCGACCTCAAACAAAAGCAAACCAAATCCTTCACTTGCAGCCCACAACAAGTCATCTCCATTGGTGACTACAAACAATCCACCTATTGCCACCTCCTCCTCGGCCTCCGATTTTCGGACCAAGTCGAGTACTTAACCTCAACGTTCGCATACACAATCGTGCAGGCCTTCATCTCGTTCGAGGAAATATGGCTCGAAATATGCAACGATATCCGAGACGGTACCCTCAGCCCGAAAATCACCCACCCGGCCGCGCGGGCCGCCGTGCTCGGGTCGACCCGGCCCGACCCAGATCTCGCCTCGCGGGTCGGGTCGAAATGCCGGGAATTGGAGAAGGTGGGTTTTGCGGGCCTCGTGCCGAAGCTATGGCCCAATGCCAAGTACGTGTACTCGATCTTGACGGGATCGATGGAGCCGTACTTGAGCAAGCTCGTGCATTACGCGGGCGGTTTGCCGCTCGTGAGCGCGGATTACGGGTCGACCGAGGCGTGGATAGGGGTGAACGTGGAGCCGAGCTTGCCGCCCGAGAAGGTGAGTTTCGCGGTCGTGCCGAGTTTCGGGTACTACGAGTTCATACCGCTCTATAGGCGGAATCGAGAGGGCGTGAAGTCGGGTGGGGCGGACGATTTTGTCGAGGGCGAGGCGGTGCCGTTGAGTCGGGTCGAGGTGGGGCAGGAGTACGAGGTCGTGCTTACGACGTTTTCGGGTTAGTAGTAAGAAAAAAGTTTATATTTTGGTTAATTTTTCTTGGTTCTTGAGTAGTTTTCGGTAGAGCTATAAACGAGTCGAGTCGAGCTTGATCGAACTCCTGATACTTGACCTATGTTTGAGCATTTATCGTGTCGAACGGAGCTGAGCTCGGCTTGTTAACTGATTGAGTCGATAAACGAGCTCGAGCTTGTCTCGTTTATTAAAACCCTTATTTCTCGAGTCTAATGAGTCTTAACAAGCTGAGTCAAGATTGGTTGGTGAGGTGTAAAATGAGCCTGAACTCAAGTTCGACTCCTTGATCAAGTTGAGGTCAAATCGTTTTCGTATTGTGTAGTTTGTCGATCTCAAACGAAATGAGATTGATAATGTGTTGTGTTGTTTTGGTTCTTAAGTGCTTTTCCTTAGAGCTGTAAACGAGCTCGAACTCCTAATACTCGAGCTTTAACGAGTCAAATTCGAGTTTTAAAGCCGAGCTAATTTAATAGTTCGAGAAGTTACCTTATAAAACCCTATTTCTCGAGCCTAACGAGTTAAGCTTGTGCAAAATGAGGTCGAACTCAGCTCGTTTATCAAACGAATTGAGGTCAACTTGAATTTTAACGAGCTAAACTGAGTGGGGCCCACGAATGGCTCGGTTTGTTTATTCATGTGATCCAAAGTAGGGAAAACATTTGCAGCCATTCATTTGTGCTGTATAGTAAGTACATTAGGTGCATGGACAGATGGACCACATGCACCTAAATAATGCAGAGATGGGCTTGGAAATATGTATTCCCATTTCCCGCTAAATATCTCAGTCAGCTTTTTCATGGCAAGCCAACTTGTAGGGGGCATCTACATGATTTTGTCCCTTGTTTTTGAAAAATCTGAACCAATTTTTGGCCGTATTTAATAGTCTCCTGTACGGAAGGGAAAACTCGAGTAGAAAGTGCTTTTGGAATTTGCATAAGGTACAAGAAATTTATTATATTATCAAATTATTACTCGTTACCTTTATATGATGCATGAGTAGAAAGTGCTTTTGGAATTTTGCGTAAGGTACAAGAAATTTATTATATTATCAAATTATTACTCGTTACCTTTATATGATGCATGCCTAGAACTTTTTTTCTTTCATCTTTATTTTCTTCAATACCAATTGAGTGAATCATAGTACTAGCAAATTTTATTTCTTTCTTTTCTAAACTCCATATAGGGATAGCTTACATGGTCATAGTACTAACAACGTTTGCTCCTTTCCATTTGATCTATCGTGCATTAATGTCCCAAATAATTTTCAATTGTTTTGGTATAGTATAACCTCCTTGACTAGTACTAAGAGCATCTTTAGTAATGAGTTTCGAAGAAGTTTTGAAAATACAAACCTTGAGGTTTATCATTATAATAGAGAGGTTTGAGATTTGAAAATACAAATCACGTTTGTGGACAAACCTCTCATAAACCTCGTGGGATTCACGCCCACTTGCTTTTCTTAATATTATTGTTCTTTTATGCCTAGTGGGACCCACGTCCACTTACTTTTTTTAATATATTTAAGAATAAAATTTAAATAAATAATATATGAAATAAAATATGTGGGTCCATAAAAAGTTAGGTTTGTAATGTTATTGGAGATTTAGAATGTATGAGTAAGATTGGAGTTTTGAATGATGTGACATATTGAGAATTAAAAATGTAGGTTTAAATGGGTTTTATTGTTAAAGATGTTATTTGCCTGTCTTTTCTTCATTTTATGTATATTGCATTAATATCTACAATAATTTTTAATTTTGTTTGGTATATGTATAATCCTGGCATGCAGGGCTATACAGATACCGACTAGGTGACGTGGTCCAAGTGTCCGGTTTCCACCGCAACACCCCAAAGCTCAGCTTTGTATGCCGCCGGAAGCTAATTCTAACTGTCAACATCGACAAGAACACCGAAAAGGACCTCCAATCGGTGGTCGAGAAGGGATCTCAAATCCTACACAAGACCAAAAAGGCCGAGCTCATCGACTTCACGAGCCACGCCAGTGTGGCCCACCAACCGGGACACTACGTGATCTATTGGGAGATCAAGGGTGAGGCTGACGGACAGCTGTTGAGCGAATGTTGCACGGAAATGGATGCCTCTTTCGTGGACCCAGGTTATGTGGTGTCTAGAAAAAGTAGCTCGATCGGGCCTTTGGAGCTCCGGATTGTGGAGATGGGAACTTTTAAGAAAATTATGGATCATTTTATTGGGATTGGGGCGGGTTTGAACCAGTTCAAGACTCCTAGGTGCACGAGTAACCCGGTTTTGCTTAAGATTCTTGATGCGTGCACCGTAAAGAAGATTCGTAGCACCGCATACGGGTTGAGCTAGATGGAAAATTTAATTTAATAATAAATGATGTATGAAACAGAACATGATTGAAGTTAAGATTATCGATTGTTATTGATTTGAAGTATCGTGTTTGATCTCAGTGCACAAATTGAATGATATATATCGTGTTAGAACGAGTATACTTGATTCACTTAGATGTGTGATTCTGTCAATAATATTGACTATCTGCTTATGGAAGGTTAGTCGGATTATCAATTACATAAGCACCAACTAGGCGTAAAAATAGCAAACAAGATGATAATGATTATCATGGGTTGATAATTCATTTACAAGCAAGAATTCAAATAACAAATAGTGATCAACAAGAACTAGTAAAAGTAGAGAAAATAAGAATTCAAATAATAAATAGTGATTAACAAGAACTAGTAAAAGTAGCGAAAATAAGAAGATAGAGGGTCAATGAAATTAGAAATGATTTTCTCAAGCTTAAGATCACATGACAATTGACTAATACATATCAAAATAACAACCTCATCAACTAACTAATTGACTAGAGCTATCAAATAACTCACGTACTCACAAACACAAGTATAGACAAGTGCTACATTCAATCAATCAACCAAACCAATAGTCCATATTTTGTACTATTAAAAATCAACCTTGTTTGCACTATGATCCAACTGATGTTTCTGTTGGTAATCAGAGAGGGAAAAGATATGCAAAAGAGAAGATATTTTCCATTGTGAAATCACACTCAGATCAATGAGAATACAATGAGGTTACACACCAAAGATGAAGAGAAGAAAGATTAGAGATTAGCCAAAATGTTAATCCTCAAGCGTAACAATGCATTTAGGTGAACACATTCATAAGATCAGAACATGAACAAAGCAATATTATGTTACTTTTGTCTTAGTTAAAGAGTCTAAGTTCTTGACCAAAGATGAGCACATGCTCATACAAATTTCATTATCATAGCAAGAATACTTGGGACATTAGAGGGCAAGCCTAATTACACCATTTACCTCTAAATCTCATTTTATTTTTATTTTTACGAAGTTTTTATTTTAATTGAATTTATACTAACTTTTAGAGTTTATTTTTGTTTATGTTTGGTTTATTTTTATCATTAATTTGTAATGCATTTTTTCATTTGTAATTGATTTATGAATGGCGTATATATAATTTAATTTTAAATGTCGTATTTTTACAAAAAAAAGTAAATATATAAATAAAATAAAAAATCAAAGTGTGAATACGTTGTTACTTGTTCTCACTTGTTCGCATTAGGAGCTTCATGTGATAAGCCCAATTGTGAGTATTGAATGGGCCAAGATCCAACAATTTTATGTGAACCACAAGTCCACAACCTTTGAGCTCTCAATTGTAGACATGATTTATGTCACGTATTTAAACATGAAAACTGACATCTAATTGGAAAAAAATAGAAGAATAAAATTAAGATATTTGAATATCAAAACTATTTAGAATTTGACCTATCGCGATGCTCAAATAAACTATACTTTATTCAGGATCAAGATTAAAACATATCTAGAACCATTTTGATTGAAGAATTCCATGGTTTCAGGATCAAGATTAAAACATATCAAGATTAAAACATATCTAGGTTTTCGAGTAAATTTTATTTAGGAGCATATATGTTAGTCATTCTAATTGTTTCTATTCTTAAAATCACAAAAACTTAAAATTATGCCATGCAACACACAAAAATTGCAACCAAAAAGTATCGAAATACACTAATAACTGAAAAAAGGACCAAATAAACCAATGGCTCAGCTAATAAACATTATATAATGAAGCACTGATCTCACATTTCTTAATCGAAAATCAAATACAAGCAGTCAGACTTAAAGAAAGCAATTAAATCTAATCACAGCATCTAATCTAAATACACCTCTTTGATTTACTCATTTTTTCCTTGTTCTCAGTCAGGCATATCATCAAACACCTTCTAAGCAGACACACCGCTCTTGGCCAGCCGCGGCGAATTTCTGATCCCAGAGGCGGCGGTGACCAACGCCGCCCCAATCTTTCCGCCTCCCTTGACCAGCTTCCTCTTTTTCTTCAGTTTACCCTCTTCAGCACCCGCAACCGCCTCAACCTTCTTACTCCGCGTCCTCGCCGCCACGGCAACAGCAGCGGCGCCAATGCCGCTCTCCCGGGCAACCCTCTCGAAATCGTCCCCCAATTTCCTCACTGGACCCCTCTTCGCCGGCGGCGCATCCTCGTCCTCGTCGTCCTCATCAACCAACCCAACAACCCGACGCCGTTTGAGAGCCACCGGAGGCGGCGGGGGAGAAGGCGTTTTGCTTACCCGGGCGGCGCCGTCGTCTTTACCTGACCTTTTGGGGGGCGAATCTCCGGCGGATCCGCGGCGCTTGTGAGATTTCACGGAGATCTGGTCGCGCTGGGCGCGGAGCCGCTCGACGTTGCCCTCGATCCGGCCCTGGAGGCGGCGGCGCTTGAAGTTGAGGCCACCCATGGACCAGTGGGCCTCCTCGGCCCAGGACATGAGCGGATCGAGGACTGGGGGCGGCGGGTCGACCCGGTCGGTGTTGAGCTTGACGTCGGTGTAGAAACGGGGGCGGGGGAGGCTGCTGCCGTAGAACTTGCCGGGGCCAAGAGGTACGACCATGGCGGCGGACTGAGTGCTTGTTTGATTGACTGTGTTTGTGTGTTTAGGTGTGTGTGATTGATTGTGTGAGAGCCGAGGAAGTGCTTTTGTAGTGTGGGGAGTTGTTGGCAAACTGTGGCGGGAAACTTGGCGCCATCGAAAGTTTTGCAGGAAAAAATGGTAGCGCACCAAAAAGGCAGGCGCCGAATCGAAATTGGATGATTTTTTCGCGTGATTTCAATTAAAAAAGTAAATAAATAAATAAAATAGAAATAATTATGGGCGCTGATGAATGCTTACTAAAGGAAAAAAAATATATGTATTATTTATCCAGTATTTTGTTCTCAATTTTGAATTTTCTTCAATAAAATTTTAAAAATAAGAATTGATCACTAGTATATATGCTTATTTAATAAACTTCTTAATCTATACTTATATAATAAGAATTACTATTTACCAAAAATATTAAGCAAAAAAATGTAGCAACATTAATTACATACTATTTCGGGCAAGTTTTGTTTTTATCTTTTAGTTATTAATGAGAAACATTTAAATATGCCTTCAATCACGGATACTAAGTTTTGATAACCAAATTGCTCAATTTTGGTACAAATAAAGCTTTTAAAAATTTGAGTTTTATTTTAATACCAATCCTTTTTAAAATTAATTGATATCAACATTCACTAATTTGGGCAAAAAAAACTTGCAAGTTCATAACCCATAATAATTGTGTGCAATTCATCAAAATCAATGATATCACATAATTATGATTTGTATGTTTTCAGTCGTTTCAAGTTTTTAAAGAAAAAAATTATTTGGACGCCAAAAAATTTTGTGTAATAAAATAAACTTGCCGATCAAAAAAATAAAAAATCAACCGACACACACTCAAATTCTAAGAGTTCTTTTGACTAATCGTAAACACCCAAAAAATTCGAACATAAAGGTAAAAAAATCAAACATAAAAACCTTAAAAATAAAAATTTCACATTTATTTTTCGGGCTAAACAACTAAGATCAACAAAATCTACCGGCGCACACTCAAATTCGAAATATTCTTTTGATTAATTGTAAAAACCAAAAAATTCGAACATGAAACTACAAAAACCGAAAATAAAAACTCTCAAATTGAACAAATCATATTTGTTTCGTGCAAAACACCTAAAACTAACTAAATGAAAACTAAAAAAAAATATGTATTTATAAGACGTGTTAAAACGGTAAAGTTGGAAGAAGATAGATGAAAAAAGACGAAAGAAGAAGCTGGAAGCGGCGAAAAATAAAGGAAGAAATGTAGCCCTTGGTCCGATAATTTCACTATTTATACTATGTTCAGTCTAATATAACCCGATTTGCGTTGAGTAATCTGGATCATTAGATTATTTTTTCTGTTTTGTTTGGGCCGATATAAACTTTTGAAGCCAACATTGTAAATTCGGCCAATATGAACTTTTTGAAGCCCACATTTTTCAAAAACATTCATATTTTACAAGCCCAACATGATTAATATAAATAATTACACGTATCTTATAATAAGTATTTGTTAGGTTTAATTATAATCAGTGATCCGTGCTTTATTATATAATTTAAATTTAAATACAAAATTATGTTTTAAAAAGGACGGAAATAATAAAGCCTCGTGCATCGCACGGGTACTGTACTAGTTACAATAATAAATGATAAATGTTATAATTTTTTAAAGTAATATTAATGAATATGAAATGTTTATCATCACTATATATAAAAAGAAGAATACTTCATTTACACTTTTCAAAAAATATGTAATAAATTTCAATATGAGAACAAAATTTAGAGAAAAAGAATCTGATAAAAGAATCTGATTTTTCTTTCGAGCCCGCAGGACCGATTTCTTTGAGTGTTGATCAATATATCATATAACATGGAAACAAAGAACGTCAACACACCCAACACCTTAATCTAGGCCCAACTGATTAGTAAAAAGCCCAAGAACCGTATTTTAGGTGAAATACTTTCTGTTTTCATCTAATTTGGATATCAGAAAATTGTTTAATGGGTTGCTCATATCTTTTTTAATAAAAAGCTTAATTGGGACGGAAAATTCGAAATAAATGTGCAATAGTGCCCCTACATGTAGGGTGGAATCTACGGTTTGAGACATTTAGAACAGTGTATTTGTTGTCGATCGAGTCTAGGTAAATTAGTCGAGATTAATATAGCGCTAACGAGATGAGATGTCGCTATTATATATAATTTTTGAATGTGTCGAGGTTAAGTGACAGACTTCTGCTTCTTAAGCTAATAGGCTTAGAAATCTATACTTATATAATAAGAATTAACATTTATCCAAAATAGTAGGTCAAATTATGGTCAATGTCGGATTTGCATTAAATATATTCCAAAACTGATAAGTTTTTGTCCTTTTCACATTTCTCATTAATTATGTCATTTTCACACTTCTCATTAATTATGTCCTTTTCACACATCTAATTAATTCATTAATTACGACATAATTATCATAAATCATTCCATCTGAGCTTTTATCGTTAAAATGTATAACGATCTGTTATGACCTTATCCCATTGATATTTCCATGAAGCGTCCTTATCACGTTCTATTTTTTGGTAACCACTCTATATCAATAAGTGAATATTTGGTTAATGATAACACACGTCTTTATTTCAAGGAGCGGATATTTTCTTTGACCTTTAATTAATCTGAGCTGATTGCCTTGACTTTTCAATCTTTAAAAACTCTTTTTTTAAATATTTCGGCTTAAGATTTGGATTTCATTATACAAGTCATCGGATTGTTTGAATGAAAATGAATGAAAAGAACACCAAAAACAGGTAGCCTTATTCATATAACCAATCCTAAAATATTAATTTGTTCACAAAAAAGAGACAAATCCTAGAAATCCTGAAATATTAGTTTGTTCACCAATCCTAAAATATTAGTTTGTTCACAAAAAATATTAGTTTGATTTTTAGGATTTGTCTCTTTTGAAAATATTAGTTTGTGATAATGAGGAGTTACCAAATAATCAAACTCATAATGTTGTGTACAAGGAGGTTTTTAATAATATATGATTGTTACCGAACTTTTTATGATTCAACAATGTTCCTATGTATTTTAATGATTTCAATTTCGATCCTAATGCACGTGAGGTTATATTATTCTTCCAAATTTTACATCTCGTGCATCGCACGGGTTACGTACTAGTTATCATGAATTAGCTATCTTTTTTTCTTAATTATACTACTCTTACTTTTTCTTATTTAATTCATTTAATAATTATCATATTAGTATTCTTTTTTATTTTTGAAACTTTATAAATTATTTATTTGTATTTTTTTTATATATGATATATCGTAGGAATCATTCCAACGGAAGCTATAACATTGGAATATCCGTTGGAATTTATATTGAAATATATTAACGTAGTATTTTCCGTTGAAATATAACAATTTTTTGGTAGTGTGCGTGCAGTTAAATCTTCTCTCTTTTGACAAGTTTTCATTTCAAAAGAGGAAAGTTTTTGAAAAAAAATTAGTGAGAAAAAAATAAATTAAATGTATAGTTGCAAGTAAGATGGAGGTATAATGATAGAAAAATGTGACATAAAATTAGTAAAATAATAAACTATAGTTACAATTATGTGAGTAATAAATAACAATAAAATTTATAGAAAAAAATATATTTTGACGTGTTTAAACTTTATAAAGTACAGAATATTTGATATCCAATAGCCACTAGCTAAATCAACTGCCTCCTTGCGCATGCGAGGACCAAAGTGCCTTTTAACCAATGATTTCACATCAATTTCTTCAAAACCAAATCATGTCACAAATGTACTGCACTTATCAAATTTCATTAAAGAGGTTAGTAGACATGGGGACCAATCAATTACAAATCTACGTCTTTGTTGAGGATTTTTCAGAAAGAATAAAAAAATTTAAATATACATTTCTCATGTCATTATATCAATTAAACTATTGAACTTTCCTTTAATCAGGGAATCAATTTGAAAAAAATTCTAAAGTCTTTAAGTTTTAGAAGCTGATATTTTTGCAATGTGGTCTTTGTGTTAGCCATACAGTGGCACATGTCGTCCAGTAATGAATTCAGTCTTCATCTTCAAACCTAAAAAGTCAGCAAATAGCTCATTTATACTTTGAAATTTTTGTCATTGAATTATATGCCACAGTCCTCCTCAGCCCCACAATCTTGAATTTTTTTTGTCATTATTTGATAATTCGACTTAAAAAATAAGGATATTCAATATCAAATTTGGGCATTATATATATATATATATATATATATATTATTATTAACTACTCCTGCTAGGTATCACAAATTCACAACCCAGGAAATTTTCACCCTTTAAAGTATTTAAGAAAGACACAAATTTTTGTTTGGGTCGACGTAATTGCTAAGCGGGTCGATCTGTAACAAAAATAAATAGTTATGCTGTGAAATATCATGTATTTATGTATATTGTTTTAAAATATAACATTTCAATTTGAAATATATATATTTATTGAAAATGCATGGTTGACTAACCGCTAAACCAATATAACAACAATTAGATATTTTGTGTCATCAAAACAGACTTCACTAATTTCTCCATTACACAGACCAATTCACAAATTCAAGACCAATTTCATTGGGCAAAAGAAGTATACTAATTAATACTAGTAATTATTATCACCATTATTTCATTCATCAATATATGAAAGTGGGTAGGGTAGAGTTTCTGTAGTCAGTTAGTTGGGCTGATGTTTCAAATATAGACAAAGAAAATATCTATCGAAGTGTCAAATACGTACCACTTATTGGTCCAATTTAATATATTTTTATTTAATGATTTTGTTGGATTAAAAGTCAGTGAGACAAATCAACAATTTTAATAATGTAAAGTGATATATGGTATAAGCGAACTGTATAGTGGTAGGAAAAGTTTAAAATAACTATTTATAGTTATAAATATGTGGGTAGATAATAGAAAAATATTATTAAAAAATGCATTGTAATAATTATTT